CCAAGAAGATAATCAACTCCTTAAAAGCAAGATTACTTTTCTCATTGTCAGTTCCCCGTTTAGCTCAGTTGGTTAGGTTGTTAGGTATATACTTCGGTCCCGGGTTCGAATCCTACTCCTCCCAAATTTATTTTCAAAACTTTCTGCGAAATGATAGGTTCCCAAAATAGAATAAGGCAAAAGAAAAATTTTTTTATTGAATATTTATTTATTATTAATATTATTATTTGAATATAACTTGCCTTACCTTGTAAGCTTACCACAACCTTACCTCAACCTTACAACTTAATAATAACCTTACCACAGCCTTTACTCATAAGCTTACCTCGACCTTACCGTGTAAGCTTACCTCGACCCTACCATGTAAGCTTACCTCGACCCTACCATGTAAGCTTACCTCGACCCTACCATGTAAGCTTACCTCGACCCTACCATGTAAGCTTACTGTAAGGCGGACATTTTAGGTTTACTGTAAGTCTACTATGGGCTTACGATGTTACCTTACAAACCTTACATGTAAGCCTGCTGTAGGCCTGGTGTAAGATGTTGTGCTGTGTGGGCAGTATGAAAATTATGATTTTATTAGCTTTTTCTGTTAAATATATTATGAAAAAGATATTGATTGATTAATTAAACAAAATTTATAACAATAACACTATTTATGAATATTCACTTTAAATTTTAGAAAGAGTTAAATAATGGCAGAAGGCCGAAAGACAAAATCTATATTTTATTTATTCGATTATACTTTAATAATAATGAGATCGATTCTGAAGGAAACAACTTCTAATTAATTTATTGGGATTCACCGTCCAGTTGACGACGACGATACCTCGTCTCATTTTTATTATTTTTAAAATTTTAATTATTTTACATTAAAGGAAATAGAACACAACTTGACTCTACAAACACCAAGATGAGAATGAGAGTAAAATGGCTGACGAATCAAACTCGAAAGCATCGTTAAACAGCGGCCTCTCTTTTCGGTATCATTGAAATCAATTAATATTCAATAATATAATACCCGCGACCGATAATCGATACGCAGTCGTGGGTAAAGAAGATCCCTACACTATCCGATGTTAAATTGATTGATGCGAGTAGTCTAAAGGAAATTCACTGCTAATAATAGTTTGACAGATCGTCAACAAAACAGCAATTTCATCTTCCTGGTGTTCTTGAATATTTGAGACTCTCATCCAAATATATACACCAGGAAGCTCTTCCCTAGATGACTTATGATTTCAATAATATAGATAGTGATGTCCTCAACGTCTTTCTGACCCGGCGAGATTCCTCAATGCCTCTCAAGAGTTTTCATAACAGAACGAAAGGACAAATCAGAATCGAATTTAATTATTAGAAGTCGACTATTAATCTGACAACTTTGGCAAGTTGGTTTGCTAATACGTGAATTTATTATATAAACAAAATGAAGTGAGTATCATAAGAAAACAATTTTTATAATTTATAACATTTTACAGCCATTATGGCTGGATTCCCATCTTGGTATCGTTTATTTACAAAATTTATTTAAATTTATTATTTTTAAGTCATTTGTACGCGACAAAATGCCGCGTTACAACACATATAAAGTACAAAATACAACATAGAGAAATTGGTATGTTTAAGAAAGTTTTCTTTTGTTCCAAATTTGAACGGCTAATTAATGTTTTTATTCCGAGAGTGGAGATTTTTTCGCCGGAAAAATTCTATGTTGCATGTGTAAGGGTTACAAAAGAGAATTAAGGAGAGGATGCAAGTGAAGATGTAGACGGCATAGTAGTCGTCGTCGACGGCGGCGGCCATGTTGAGGGCCGGCGGTCTTTTATTTCGCAAACAATAGAAGGGCGCTTTGTTTCAGGCATTGTCAGGCGGACAGTAACGCGCGCACAAAAGTTATAATGAAACGCTATTTATTTAAATGTATAGGTGCTTGGTGCCACCCCCTCCGGTTCCTCTAGGATCTCTCTCTCTTTCTCTCTCTAAGTATATACATATACAAACCAACCTCACTCTGTACCAGCCGTTCTTATTCCGTATTCTTTTATTCAAGCTACCACATTTACGAAGCCATTCTTTCCCTAGCAATTGTCTTTTTACATTAGTATATGTGCCTTCATCTATATCCTCATACAATCCTCCTTTTAGGGGTAAGGGTTTACGAGCAAAGTGTTTCAAAAAAAAAAACTATATACACATATAACAATTGTATTACATTAATCTTGGAAATTTTGTTCTTATTAATTATTTTTTGATAAATTGGAATTATATTTTGGACTGATTAAATAAATAACGCTAATGCGTATTGATTTAAAATATAATCTCAAATATCATAAAACTATTTATAATGTCTTTAGCTACTCTTTTTGTTATACGTCATCAAATTACTTGCTAGCTAATTGATTTGAAATATTAAAGTTGATTTAAAAGTCAATGACAATCGCACATATAGAGATGTCTATATGAATATTCGACGAATTGGAACGAAACCTTATACTTCGGAAAGGGTTCTTATAATTGATTGATGCAAATAGAATGATAGTTTCATTGAAAGAAGTCGAGAATTCAAAAGAATAACTAGATAAGAAGAAATAGAAGGAGAATTAAACAAAAAGTTATTCTAAAAATATTTTTTTTTGTATTTCCAAATAGAAAATGATAATATTCATAAAACTGGTTTAAATATAAAATGTTAATTGAACAAGTATTAACACAACATTTATATACGCAATGTAACCTTTTTATTATATATGAAGGGAAGGATTAGATTCATTAAAAATCAATAACAAATTCTTTAAGATGTTAATTATTCATTATATTCGTAGAAATTGGACCCAATTATACGACTTCCTCCGGGTGAATGGTCAATTTTTATGAATTGCATTCTGTTTAGTGAAGGCTGCAACAATAGGCAGAACTTAATAATCATTTCCGGTAGACCTGTGACGCCTGCGCAACACTTGTAATTTTTTCTTCTTTTTTTTAATAAGATAATGGATCACGTTTGTCATTCGAAGAACTGAAATCGAAATTATATATTTTGTTTTTTTTTCGAAGAAAGCTGTAAGTTACTTTAGTATTGAAGAATATAAATATAAAATATTAATTGACAATCTGATAGGTATGGTCTTATGCAAAAGCTAATTTTAAGGATGCTAATTAATATCAGTCAGTGCAAATTTTATTGGTTGAACTTCAAGACTCAAGTTGAGAACTATGCGTGCGCAGCACTAGACAAGTGGTGGGGAACCATAAGCACCAATAAGTATACGCTACTTCCACTTCTCACGCGAGTGTTCTCAACTTAAACAACGAAAGACGATGAGCTACAATGATAATAACCCAAGTTTCACTCGTACAATGTAAATCACAATTAATATTTGTAACAAATTTTAATTTATTAACAAATTAATTGTTCTTCATACACACTTTCTCTTTAGAAAAGCATTGAAGCCAAAAATGAAATTTGACTGAAAGTATTTAAAATGACGTGAGTTAAATCCCAACAGAAGATTCTAAGGGTACAAAAGGACAAACGTAGTGAGTGTTTAGCATTGAAATAAAAATGAGTGAAGCTCTATATCGCAATCTGTTCAATGGGTGTGAGACTACAAGAGAACATTTCATCGTGTATTCTAGAGGCTGGAGAAAAAAAGTAATTTTCTTTCCCTATCAAGCTTCCCAATACCGCAACCTTTCATTCGCGTTACAAAACGAAAGAGCGTATCCCATTCTGTTATATACAGAAGTTGCTGTGTGGGTGTGTATATATGTATGGAATGGGTATAACATATTCGGAGAAATAGATTTGGCGACGGCGATGCAGAGAATAACTGGAGGCTGAGGGGACCGCGGTTTCTTTCAATGCTTTGAATGAATCAACAACGGGGCGATGATATCTGTAGGGTGGTGATAACAATGCTAACGCCGCTGTGAGCTTGTGTGAAACTGGTTTTCACTGTACCGAGAAAGTACGAGGCGCCACTCCTGGGGAACGTGTTAAATGTTCCAAAGGGTCTTATAGATCTTTTTGGGGATTTCTTCAATTCGCTTCTTTAAAAATGCAAATATAAAATTTGAAGAAAAAACAATTTACAAAATAACACAAAACTTGGATTGAAGACAATTAAAAAATGTTTGTTATTCCTATCGGTAAGTGATATAATTTCCAAAACTCTATATGTGATGCACACAGAAGAAAGGGATTTAAGAAGCAAAAAATTATATCTTATATTTATGAAGTTTGGAGAGAAAATAGACGAAAAGGATCAACGCTACTGATATTTAAGCTTTCATTATATCCAAAATAAAATTTGATTTTGATTTTACATAATTGAAAAGGAACTTTTAATCAATGTAAAATTTTTATAAACTTAACCTATTATTTTTTGCTTCTTAGGTTCTTTTCTTTAGATGTAGTCACACATTTTTTATGTAAAGAAAATTAATATTTTAGAATAAATTAAAATTGGTTTAAATAAAATCATTTAATCAAATAAATATTACTATAATTTTAAAATTATTTTTTATCATAAAATTATGTCCACAATAGGCTCTTTTCATGTCCTTTTGTTAAACATAATATAAGAACATAAAAAGAGCCTATTGTAGACATAGCATAACGTTAGAGCAAAATGCTTTAAAATTTTTTTAAGTTTCTAATTGGCTAGTAAAATTATTACAATAATAATATTACAAAATATTTTAATCAGAAACAGAGAATTTGTGCAGTGGTTATTTGATTCACATTCAATATAAATTCAATTATATTTTTAATTTAATTATTATTTTAACATCAAAGTAATAAATAAATTTTGTAGGTTAAAATAATTAACTGAATATATAATGTAATTCAGGTTCGTAATTTAAATACTATTTAAAAAATAAAACATTTCAAATAACGCGCGTACTTTTTCTACGTATTACACGACGCATGCGCAATAGTAAGGAGTTGTTTCCCTTCCCTGACCCCCTGTTGAGCAGAAGCGATTTCCCGCGAAAAATGGAGATGTTAACATTTTTTACTCTTCTATAGTTGGATACGTTTATTCAATCTCATTATTGTTGATAACAAAACAGAAACAATATATAAGAGTGAACGAACTTTAGTACTTTTTAAAAACTTTCACCCAACAAACAATGATGGTGTCGCAGATCATTATCGACGTGCGAGGAATCGTTTAGAGCAACATTGTCAGCATTTACACGGTAAGTGTATATTTCATTTTCTAAATCTCATTCCCTAAATCAATTTTTCACTAAATTGGAAATATTTTCATTGAAATTATATTATTGAAATACATGAAATTAAAAGTTTTGAAAATAACTTGAAGCTTTAACGTAAAACTAACCTCTATGTTGAGTACATTTTTTTTTACATCAGAAAATTTCTTCTTCATTTTATGATCGTCAAATCAATTGTTCTTTCAATAAGAAAAGGAGGGTTGATAATTAGACGTTGTAAGAATATTGTTCAAATTTTCCGATTGTTCAGTATTTTCGTATAAAAATAAATATTCTCAACATTAGAAATATTCAACGACTTTTGACGCAATTTCTTTTTGTCTTTTTGATTGACATTTTTATTTCCTTATAGCAGTTTTAACGTCATTTCTTTCGTTTAGTGAAGAAAACAAACACACTTTAACAATTTCAAAGGAGTGGACGGACTTCCGGACATTTACAAAAGATTGCAAAAGATCACCAAGGAGAAAGCAATGCAAAGGAACCTGTTTCGGCATTAAATGGTTAGTTATATTTCAAATTATTTTTTCAAAAATGCTAATAATAATTTCTTTGTTTTTTAATAAAATTATTTTTGCGTCATATGAAAAATATTTTAGATGAAATTATTCAATTTAAAAAATTAGTGATGATATTGATGTTTAAATCAACCTATCCAATTATTATATTTTAGTTTTCTTATTTTTGGTGAATATAATTTCGTAACTTTCATCGAGATATTTAATGAGTTTTATTAATTAAAATAATTTTATGTTACATTTATTTGTTATGTTAAAACGTAAAAAAGAAATTTAAACAAACGCTTTTAGAATTATTAAGATAATTTTTGACTGTTGTAATAAATCGATTATTATTTATTATTACTATAAACTAGTAATAATAACATTAATATAATTAGAGAAGGGTAGATTATGCGATCGCATAATTGCATAATTTTCTAAAATCAAGTAAAACTATAATACTATTGTGTTAGTTTGTATTTTGGACCTTTTGCAATACGTTTTTAAAGCGTACAATATTGCTTTTCAAGAAAAAAATTTTAAACATGCAAAATTTATTTGTTTTTACAATTTGCATAGGATAAAATTTTTTTGTTATATCGCTTCTATAGAATTTTTTAAAACTGATTCGATTTCAATGAAATATGGCTTATTTTCTTCAGAAATAATTCTCTACAACTTCACCGTGGGGATTTTTTAAACAAGCAAGCCATTTGGCAAATACAGCTATTTGTTTAAAAAAATTCAAATTTTTCTTTTAAAGAAATAGCTGTATTTTCCAAACCGCTTGCTTGTTTGATAATCCCCACGGTGAAGTTGTAGAGAATCATTTTCTGAAGAAAATAAGCCATATTTTATTGAAATCGAATCATTTTTAAAAAATTTTGTAGAAGCGATACAACAAAAAAATTTTATCCTTTGCAAAAAAAAATTGTATTTTAAGTGCGTAATTACAGGGTCTCTAAATGCACAATCTACCTTTTTCTAAATATAATATTTTGACATCAAAAAATTGTAATTTTTATTTACATAGTCTCATTTGAAAAAAATGTAGTTTACAATCAATTTAATAGTAACTGTAAAAAATAATTGTTCTAATTAATTAAATTAATTAATTCTGAGTAATTTAATTTAACTTTTAAAAATTTGTTGTTTCGTAGTATCATAGTTTCAAATTATATAGTTTCAAACTATATTAGTTTAAATTTTTCTTTTTGTAGATTTTATCCTCGATGGCTTGTGGTGTCACGTACTACAAAGATAAGGGCAAAAGGAAAAAAGGGTATCTTATCTTGAAGGACACAGAATTCACATAGACTTTTTAGAACTCGGTCTATTTTTACGGTTATTTTTCTCATTTTCTGAATGGAAATTTAACTTGAAAGTAGGGATCTCCGAGGGCTATTTAGTTTAAATCTCCTTAAAGCTAAAAATTCGTTATTAAGGTAAATATTTTAATTTATTGAAAAATAAAAAATTTTAGCAATCGGTAATACTGTGGAATTTTGTTTTGAAAATTTTTAAATTTAATTGTTTAGAAATTATTGTCAGTTTATTCTAATTTTATGCACTGAAAAAAAATTTATTTCATTCAAATAATCGATTACTTGATTATTATCAAATAAATATTTATTTGTATCAAATAATCATTATTTAAGTCAAATAATTATTATTTGAGTCAGTTAAATGGTATTTGTTTCAAATACAAAAATTGTTGGTTCAAATACAATTTATTTAATTAAAATAAAAATTATTTGGTTCAAGTAAATATTTATTTAATAATAATCAAGTGTTTGAATCAAATAAATTTTTTATTCAGTATGTTTAAATACAAAATAAATATTAAATAAAAATCTTCTAAAATATATTTTAGTTAATTAAAAAAGACGTTGTTAGTATTAAAATTCTTCGTCCGTGTAATGAATACAGACCCCCGCTTTATTTTTTTTTTTTATTTTTGAATAATGTTAATGAGAAAAATTAATTCTATTATCACATGTCACTTAAATCCATTCTTGAGCCGTGTATTAAACATGTCAAATCATTGGTGAATTATCTCTTTCGTAATTCCACAACCCCTCGATTGCATTTAAATACAGAGAAGTGCAACTGCGCGAAGGGGTAGTAGTTGGTGTTTGGGCGGGGGTGGGTGGGAGCGAGGGTGAGAGTTCGCAAGTCAGCACGAGCATCAACTACGGAGCGCCGCCAATCAGTTGCATGCGGGTCGCGAAACGCGTAGGTTATATATGAGTTGATTTTTTTTTTCATTGTTTGACTCAGTGTTTTGCCGGCTTCGTTATCTATCATATAAATTTTGGATTAACTTATGGGATTTAACAACATTTCAACATCTTCTCAACGACTCAATATAGTATTCTCTTCAAAATGAAAATAAAAGTATTTTTAAAAAAATCTTTATAACTATAGTGACATTTTGAAATTGTTCTATTTTGTATCTTGTAGACATGTGTGATAATTTTTTTTTTCTTTCAAAAAGTGAAGTGCATTTGATTTATTTATTTTTTTTTACAAAATATCAATTTATTTTTTGTTGTTAACAAAATGACATTTTTGGAAAATATGTTTTTTCATGAAAAAAAAAAATGATTGCAGTGTGGAATTTTTTTTTAATATTCGTGTCTTAATGAAAAATAATTGTGAATGACTTTTAAAATAATAATGAAGAGTGTTAATTTTTGCGTAATTAACCATTGTTTTTTTATTTGTACTTTGTGTACATATATATGTTTTTTTCATTTCAGGTTTTACTTTTTTTATTTGACGATTTTGCCGATGTATGGTGATGATGACGATGATTTCAAAGGACGGAAGTTCGCGATTTAAAGTTGTATGTGACAACGTATTGACATGGGGACAATACGTGGAATTTTGGTTTTCAATTTTGCCCGATGCTGTGACACATACGTCGAATTGCGGGATGTAGTGCGCGCGGATTGCAATGACATTCAGACTTGACGGAGTGGAGGAGGATTGAGTGTCGTATCCATCCGCAGGACCATAATTTGTGTTGTTCTCTTCGGAATTCAACAATCCACAGAAATCGGGATTAAACATGAGAGTGAGTACTTTACCAATCATTGTTCAATCGTTTTTGATGAGTAAATAGCGATTCCCCTTTTATTCTTGGGGTTTGAAAAAAAAACACTTGACCATCACGTGGACTGCTTTTAGTTCCAAGGGTTGTATACAATCACTTTGAAAAAACTTCTTTTGCATCAAAATTTTTCCTAATTCATTATTGTAGGTTTTTAATATTTATTATTGATTTTTTTTTAAATCAAGATGACAATAATTAATTTGGTTCGTGTAATTAGTATTTAATCAAAGTATTCGTTTTGAACTTTGAAAAGTAATTTTAGTATTTTTTTCCAATATTATTACAGTTAAAAATATTATTTATTTTAAACATTAATTGAGTTTTTTTTATCTTGTTTTATTTGTTTCTATTAATGTAAATTTATTTATATATTCAGTTTAATAAATTGAATATAAATATATTTATAGTCAGGGAAAAGTTAGGAAAAGGTCAAAGATTTTTTAAAAAAATCTACAAATTAATGTCAAAGAATTTTTTTTATCAAAGAAACCACAAATTAAATATGAAAATTTTAGGTACTACTTTAAATAATCGAAATCAAAAAAAAAAAATTCAAAGTATTTTATAAATGAAATAGAATTTTTTTCTTTCTATCGAAAGTAAATAATTAGTTTTTTTTCTGAAAATTTTACTTATATTTAAATATGATAGAAAAAATCCAACAAGTTCATAGCTCTGCTCTGTTTATGACTCTATCATTTTACCTACATACATATATTTGTATTTTCCAGTTCTTAAAAATAACTAACTTTTTTTTCAAAAAACTAGACAAATTTTTCTGAGGATAATTTTATAAATAAATCATAATGTATTTGATAAATTAATAAAATTTACAGATTTAATTAATTACGTTACTAAATAATTAGTTCAAAATTTATTTTGAAAATAAATTTTTTCATACTGTAATAATAAACTCTTATATTTTATGATCATTTTTGTTAAGTAAAACAAATTATTTGTTTCTTATGTTAACGTTGTAATCTTTTGTTTCGTTGTTATTTGATTTTATATAATAAGCTATCTAAATTTTATCAAGATGCAATATTTATTATTAAATAAATATAAAAATATTATTATTTATTTAATAAATCAAATGTTTAAGTTTTATTAAATAAAATTAAATATATTTTTGATGGCTATATATATATATATATATATATATATATATAATATTGTATATACTTGAAAGAAAATTTTAATAAAGCTTTAAGTGCGATTTTATGACATCGTATTAAAATAGCAATAATGAAGATATTTATAATCAATATGAAAATATTGTGTGCTCTCCTAGTAATAAAAATATGATTAAAATCGAAATATTCTAGGGTGTGTTAAATCGAGTATCAAGGGGGGATTCTTGTGTTTAGTATAAAAAGGAATGGAGGGAAAAAAAATGAGGGGTAAGGTAGAGGTAACATAAAAGGCTAGCAACCCCTTTTTCCATGCAGGCTTCAATTGTTTCGAGCAGAATTCATTTGTTTTTCTTTGCGTGCGCTTTTGCACGTCTCTCTCCCTTTCGAATCCTCGAAAAAAAGCTCTCCCTTCTCCTTTTTTTGGTCTTGATTCGTCTCTCTTTCCTCCAGTATTTCTCACTTACTTTCTCCCACACCCACGTCATTCACTTGCCTCCCTCGTCTCCCCCCCCCCTCTCTCTCTCTCTCTCTCTCTCTCTCTCTCTCTCTCTCTCTCTCTCTCTCTCTCTCTCTCTCTCTCTCTCTCTCTCTCTCTCTCTCTTCTATAGCAGTGACTTTTTGTTCGCGTCGCGTACGTCAAATGTAGAGTATATACCTCGGCACGAGGTGTATTAAAATCGACCATTGTTGTTGGCCGGTCTTCAATGCGACCGCGAGAATTATACTCCCAAAGCTTTTGAAATAATATCCCCTCGGAGCCCGCTTTACGGCATAGAATGGTATCTGCACCATTTCTACCTATATGCAAGTAGATTCCATAGACATATGTATTTTATATATATACATATATCCATATGTGGGTGTAAAATCTACATGCGTCGATATGCCAAATGTCAGACCTCGTAAAGTCAAAGGAGACCATTTCGTATAATATGGAATTCGTCTAAGTACTTAGTTATTATTTATTTTACGCATTATGAATATTTTCATTTATTTAACATTGTTTGCGAGTAAAAAAATATGATAAGATAACATTTTTGTTTTATTTAAAATTATTATCAATGTTATTAACTATGAAGTATAATTAAATAAGTTAAATTAATTTTAATTATTTAGAAATACTTTTATCATTACATCGTCCAACAAAATTCAACTTTTTTTTTGACCCACAAAAAATCCAACATTTTTTGAAACTAGGACCAAAAAAAAATTACCCGTGTCTGGTCGTTTTGCTAAATCAAGTCGTTTGTGATTTTTAGTCGTTTGTGATTAATCTGATGTCAGATTTTCAAAATTCAAAATGGCGCATCCAATATGGCGGTTTGAAAAATATAACATCTGATTCGACATCAGCGACCACGAAAACCCCTAGATACCAAGTTTTATAAAACATTAATAATTTTTAAAACATATCTTGTCACTTTTCATTTAGGGGTTGTTTTCACCCCTAAAAACTACAAAAGACTTGATCTATCAATACATATATTATATATCTCCTCTATTCGAATCAGTTAAATACTTTTTCAGCTATAATATTAGATTTGATTTTTTTTTTATATGAATAACATTAAAAAAATTTTTTTTTTTAATTCTTTTATGAATTCTATTGAAAATTTAAAACCATATAAATTTGTTGGGAATGAATAAAGGCACAGCGAACTTTTCTAACAATACACTATAAAAAAATTTGTTTCAAGTAGATTTCAAAATATTCATTGAAATTCAATAAAGGTTTGAGGATTTTTTTCCCCAAGTACTTTAAAAAAAATTTTCCTTTATGCAACTTTAAATAGTACATGCAGGAAAAATTGATTTGAATTATATAAATTTCAACTGTAGCCTAAAATATGTAGTGAAGTAATAGAAATATGAAATGCTCAATGTATGGAAAATATGAATTTATTCAGGTATATATATATATATTGAAGACGATTTATGAATCTACATTCAAAATGAAAGAGTTAGTGAAATACGTTTTGAAAGTAAAGTCATTGAAGTAGCGCAAACTCGAGGATCCTCGAACGAATAAATAGTGGCTTCATTACACGCGGCTCGAAGGCGGCAAACAAATAGGGTTAATTCCACGTGCGCGACACGTTGAATACGTCGTTTCCGAATGGAGGTAATTCCGGTGACAATGTGGCCTTTGATTTCATAGACCGGTACGTTTGAATGACGTGCGTCCT